CTGGAAGTGATCACCTTGCCAAAACAATTGGCACTTTGTAAATGTGCGGCACATCAAAAAGACAACTCTGTTGTCACAAAAGGAAATAACTTTGCAGACCAAACAGCAAAGCAGGCTGCACAACAAACGATAACGCTTCTAACATCCGAACGTTGTACACAAATACCACTTGACGTACTAAGAGACGAACAAAAAGCTGCAACAACCACTGAACAGAACAAGTGGCTGAAATGTGGAGCACAGCTAAAAGATGATTTAATGGTTTGTGATGGAAAACCAATATTACCAAAGTCTCTACACAAAACAGCAGCCTTAGTGACCCATGGTATAACGCATGTGTCAACAGGAGTGATGTTAAAGATAATTAATACACATTTCTACACTATAAATTTTGAAACTTCAGCGAAAGAATTTTTAAGAACATGTCTAATCTGTCAAAAACACAATTCACAAGGAAATTTAAGACCTAAGAGAGGCCAGTTCCCCACACCACCTCATCCATTTCACACCATCCACATGGATTTTATTGAACTGAATGAATGTCAAGGATCAAAATATGCTTTAGTGATTATAGATGTGTTTTCAAACTGGCCAGAGATATATCCAGTAAAAAGGAATGATGTAATCTCCGTTGCAAAATGTTTATGTAATCATTTTATTCCCACTTATGGCATTCCTTCATTGATTAGATCTGACAATGGCACACATTTTGTCAACGAAGTTATCAGAAAAGTTTCAGAAGTATTAGATTTTAACATTAAAAATCATTGTGCATACCATCCTCAGAGTGTAGGATTAGTAGAAAGAACTAACGGCACTATAAAACAAAGACTGAGGAAATGCATGGAAGAAACAAAAAGACCATGGCCAGAGTGCATAGGTCTATTAAAAATGTGGATGAGACTAACTCAGGGCTCCCAAAAATTGACACCATTTGAAATAATTCATGGGAGACCTTTTCCACTACCAATAACAAGTGAACCAATAGATAAATCTGTTAGAGAGACAACTTTAGCAGAATGGATGGTAAAGCTACTAAAAAACAAGGACATTGTGTTGAACAGTAAACTGCTGTGTGATTCCTCTCCAATCTCTTGCAGATTAAAGCCAGGCGATTGGGTCCTTATACGAGTACTCCAGAGAAAGAATTGGAACTCACCCCGGTGGGAAGGTCCATACCAAGTACTCCTAACGATGCCAACAGCTTGCAAAATCGCTGAGAGGGCCTCTTGGATCCACCAGAGCCATTGCAAAAAAGTGGAAGTGAGTGACAGCACAACCTAAAGACACCACCACCCCGACTCTTTGGTGATCTACAGGTGAAGGGAGGGCTGATCGGGTATATCCCGCCTTCTACTTCTCGCCTGTAGTCTACTCACCAGAGTAAATCGGTGTGTCTGGTCATCATGAAGATTATTCTGTTTACCACCTTGGCCCTGCTGCTTACAGCATGGACCCTGATGCACGTAAAGGATCAAGAAGCCAACCTGCATAGAAGGGCATAGACATATGACAACTCGCACCTGGCTGATTGATTTAGGGACCACCAGGAACTGTGTAGGAACGTATACACATACACTTGGTGGCCCAGTGAAGAACAACAGTCCATCTAACGGTACCTATTGGGTACAGGGAATGGCATGGTTATGTGGACAGCGTGCCTATTTCATACTCCCAGAGCAGTGGACAGGCACATGTCACACGTCTGGCACTGCGGGATTTGATTCCCTGCCGTTGTAGTGTGTTACTGATGGTGACCTTTGTTACTTTGGTCCCAGCTCTCTGCAGGTCATTCACCAGGTCCCCCCGTGTGGTTCTGGGATCTTTGCTCACCGTTCTCATGATCATTTTGACCCCACGGGATGAGATCTTGCGTGGAGCCCCAGATCGAGGGAGATTATCAGTGGTCTTGTATGTCTTCCATTTTCTGATGATTGCTCCCACAGTTGATTTTTTCACACCAAGCTGCTTGCCTATTGTAGATTCACTCTTCCCAGTCTGGTGCAGGTCTACAATACTTTTCCTGGTGTCCTTCGAAAGCTCTTTGGTCTTGGCCATGGCGGAGTTTGGAGTCTGACTGTTTGAGGCTGTGGACAGGTGTCTTTTATACAGATGATGAGTTCAAACAGGTGCCATTCATACAGGTAACGAGTGGGGGACAGAAAAGCTTCTTACAGAAGACGTTACAGGTCTGTGAGAGCCAGAGATTTTCCTTGTTTGAGGTGACCAAATACTTATTTTCCACCCTGATTTACGAATAAATTCTTTACAAATCCTACCATGTGAATTCATGGATTTTTTTTCACATTCTGTCTCTCACAGTTGAAGTGTACCTCTGGTGCAAATTACTGACCTCTGTCATCATTTTAGGTGGGGGAACTTGCACAATCGGTGGCTGACTAAATACTTTTTTGCCCCACTGTATATCAGACAATGTGCATTCTGATAATATGACAAATGCTCTACAATTACTTAGAAATGTTCAACAGGCACAGGTAACCGATTGGGCAAATTCACAAAGTAATTGGTGGGATTGGTTTATGAGCGGCTCATGGAGAACATTGATGTTTAAGGTTTTGATGTTTTTTGGCCTAATACTTATCATGTTTTGTATCTTTACTACATGCATTATCCCCTGTGTAAGAGGAATGGTATCAAGAATGATATCTCAATCTCTCGTTGCATATGTCACTGTGCTAGACGAGGAAGAAGGATAAGACGATGAGTATGAAACTAATGTGATCAATGATTATGTTTGAATGATATACATTTTATGACGACCAGACCGAAAGCACTCACAATGCAGGGTCTGTGTCTGAAACACATTGATGTATCTCTTTAATTTCAGCTACAAACAGGAGGGAATGTTCAAAGATTTTTAATTTTGTGAATTGTGTTTAGTTGTAGCTTCATATAAAGGAAGAAGAGCTTGTGAATTGAAAATACCACAGGAAAAGGGAGTGAAAACAGATGTGCAGAGGAATGCTGTGACATACATAGTACCTCCTTTGTTAACAGGCAAGCTAACGGTCTCTTTCTCCTTTTATGGAAATGTTTTTGTATTTTGAACATGTCACTCCTACTTCCTTGAAGGCTCAAGTATAAATAAAAGGATGTTCTGAATGCCCTGGGCGGTTTTTCTGTGTCACGTCTGCTGTGTACACTCTGGTGTAGAGCAGATTAGATTGTGGCCGCCCATGTGCATGTAAAAAAATAGATATCTGAGTTGTGAGTTTCTTTATCTTCTAAACAACTTTCTCTTCACAATCATCCATTAATCAACCAGCATTTAACAAACTTTATTTTGAAATGAAGCTTTTTGACATTTATTCACTGATATTTGGTCTTCATTTCAAGTCTCCATTAGTGGGAGCATTTGCTGATTTAACGTTTCTTCTGTTTACATCAAATTCCATGAAAATCAAATCTAAGTGTGAATTGGAGTCCCCTATAAACAGATACTATAGAAAACATGGAGACTGTAGAATATTTACATTGGATATGCTTATTTGTTCCCTTCAATAAAAATCAATCAGTTCATCAAATAAAATCAGTCGTTGATCGACTCAGTTTGATTGACAGGACAGATGATCAGAGGTGCAGAGTTTTTACCACCATCATTCTTACAGGGACAGAAGAATGGGTGGAGTTTGTGAATGAAGGAGCAGCCAGTAAAGGAGTGGATAAGACCTGCAGCACCTACATCATAAAAGGAGACCAGACCCTCCTCATAATCCACAAACACCCCCACCATCTCAGGACCAGACTGAAGACAGAGGGGGACTGGAGGACCAGCAAGAGCTTTGTATTCATTTCCATTTCTTAGCCACACAGTCCAGAAACCATCCTGAGGAGTCAGTTCGATTTTTCCCTTCCTGTTGATCGACTCTCTGGCCACTCCTAAATCCCAGTCAGTTTTTCCTTTAACCTGAACCTCAAAGTAAAATCTGCCTGAAGAGAAACTCTGCTTTCCTAAAACATTAGGGCATGGAGAAAATCTCTCTGGGTTGTCAGGAAGTTTCTTCCTCACATCACCACAGTGCACTTGTTTTTCATCATCAGACAGGATGAGTTTAGAATTTGCTGTATCCGGATCCAGAGTCACGTCCACTGCATACTGCTGGACCCTCTTCAGCTCAGCCTCAAACAGCTTCTTCTTCATAAGTTTCCTGAGCGTCTCCTCCAGCTGAGCCACAGCTCTCACCACAGTCCCCTCGTATGATGGTGGACGGACGCTCACTCCTCTCCAGTCCTTGGTGGGTGGAGCAGCTTTCAGGGACGAGAAGCTTTGGAGTAGGTGGAGGTGGTCTTCAGAGCGTGACAGCTGCTCCACCTCAGATCTTCTCTTCTTCAGCTCAGAGATTTCCTGTTCCAGATCTTTGATCAGACCTTCAGCGTGTTTCTCTGTTGTTTCCTGTTTGTCTTCAATCTCCTTTATGAGCTCCTTCAGGCCTTTATCGACAGACTTCTTTAGAGCAGTGAAGACCTGAACACCTTCTGCTTTCTGTCTGTCTGCAGCACCTTTACTCATCTTCACTGACTCTTTGATCTGCTGAATCTTCAGTCGTCTCTTCTGGATCATCTGCTGAATTTCAGCCTCTGTCTTCTCCAGCTCTGCCTTCTTTCCTTCATATTCGTCCTTCAGAGGAACAAACTCGTGGTTCTTGTGGTCTAAAACAGAACAGAGCATGCAGACACATGTGTGGTCGGTCTTACAGAACAGCTCCAGAGGTTTATCATGCTTCTTACACATTCTGCCCTCCAGGCTCTCCACAGCATCAATCAGCTGATGTCTTTTCAGACCTTTCTTTGTCAGATGAGGCTCCAGGTGAGTCTGACAGTAGGACTCCTGACACACCAGGCAGGACTTCAGGGCCTTCAGTCTGGTTCCAGTGCAGGTGTCACAGGGAACTTCTCCTGGTTTGGCAGCTTGTTGCTCTGAGCTACTGCTGCTGGCCTTCTGCTGAACTTCACGTCTGAACTGAGCGACCACCTCAGAGAGCAAAGTGTTGATCCTCAGCTGAGGTCTAGTGTAGAAAGTCTCTTTACACATAGGACACTGACACATGGCATTCATGTCCCAGTGCTGAGTGATGCAGTTTTTGCAGAAGTTGTGTCCACATGGTATACTGACTGGATCAGTGAACACATCCAGACAGATGCAGCACAGAAACTGATCTTCAGATCGTAGATTGCTCACAGCAGACATGTCTGCACTCTGACGGAGAAAGAAAAGAAACACATTTTATATAAAATTCACTTTAAATTTCATTTTTTTAAAAAGAGAGAAACAAATTTCAGTGTTGTGCTCTTTACAAAACCAAACAAATTTGAACCTAAAAGTGTGACATGTCAAAATCAGTTTATTCAGAATGTCTGACTTTAAAATTCTCCAAAGATTAACCTTTTACACACACACACACACACACACACACACACACACACACACACACACACACACACACACACACACACACGTTTATTAGGAAGTTGTTGGAAGGGTTTCTCCGCTCACAGCTAGTGACTCCTGGTGACGACAGTGCCTAGCCTGATCCAGATACAGTGCTACTTGCTAAGACTGAGGACTCTACCAAAGTGGTACATCACTAACTGGCGTATAAACAAAACAGAATACCCAATGATGACATTAAAAAAAATCTCTTGGCATTCTGACCATAGAGATTTGTGTTATTAGAGAATGACAGGAAACAATAATAAGCTTGGTGGAGGAAGTAAAGCCTTGAGACTTCACAACACAGAAAAGAACAGGAGGAATATGGCACTGGACATTGTGGAGTTTGAGCAATACTACTGAATGAATGAGATCATAGTAACTGGACTAAAAATGAAGTAAAGTGGCAGTGACAATGACGGAGAGTAATCATGTGTGTGACCTGACTAAATACACACAAGGGTGATTAGGGGGAGTGAAAACACATGGGGAAACAGCTGACTGACATGAACCTAATGACGGGACAGGGGAAGTGAAACTAAATACAATGAACAAAGAACACAAGACTCCTTCAAAATAAAACAGGAAACATGGTGAAAAATACAATAAACAACGGAATAAAACTAAAATACACAAGCCACTGGGTCACAGATCCAGGACTGTGACACTTTATTTTCCTAAGAGCCTTTTTGCCTAGAACTTTACAAGATCAACAGGACCCTTAGAGCCTTCATCAGGAACTCACTGGGGACGTGGCGCACAACACTAGAGGCCAACTTAAAGTCAATAGCACACATCACCATGTACACATCACCACCATGTATTTCCCATGTCTACTCTGTGCCTTTCCCATGTCAGATGTTTCATGTCTCTATGTTCCCTGTGTCTCCACAGTCAGTCGTATCTCGATGTTGCAGTTTCTACTCTTGTCTCTGTGCTCCATGTTTGCTCTGTTTTTCCCTGTCTTGCATTTCCTGTTTTACATTGATAGTTTCATGTCCTGTGTTTAGTATTTTGAGATTTGTTTCCCCTCTGTCTCTTTATGTCAGATTAGTCCCAGCTGTGTTTTCCTCCTCTTTCCCATTCTCTCTTCATTCCCTGGTGTATGTAAGCCCTGTGTTTTCCTCTGTCTGTTGTCGCGTCGTACACCATCTTTGCTGTGTGTTTCCTCCGTTTCCTAGTCCTCTGTTTCCCTGTTTAGTTCTTTAGTTTCCTAGTTCTTTAGTTTTATTTTTATTTTTTTTATTTCTAGTTTTTTGTTTTCTGTATAAATGTAAATGGTAAATGGCCTGTATTTGTATAGCGCTTTTCTAGTCCCTAAGGAACCCAAAGCGCTTTTCACAACCAGTCATCCACCCATTCACACACTGGTGATGGCAAGCTACATTGTAGCCACAGCCACCCTGGGGCGCACTGACAGAGGCGAGGCTGCCGGACACTGGCGCCACCGGGCCCTCTGACCACCACCAGTAGGCAACGGGTGAAGTGTCTTGCCCAAGGACACAACGACCGAGACTGTCCAAGCCGGGGCTCGAACCAGCAACCTTCCGATTACAAGGCGAACTCCCAACTCTTGAGCCACAATCGCCCTTGTGTTGTAGTATTATGTCCAGTAATGAAGCTGCCATTTTCATTTAAATTGAGTCCTGCGTTTGGGTCCTACATCTTACCTGCCACACAGCACAGCCATGACACTCAGTGAGATCATTAACAAGACTGCATACGGATACCAACTGTGAATTGGAGAAATCACCAGCCATCTTTACATGGATGACATCAAGCTGTGTGCCAAGACCGATCGAGACATCGATTCACTGGAATGTCATTCACACTAGAGAAGTGTAGTTGGATGGTAAAAAACAGAGAGGGAATATAGTCAGAACTGAGGAGATCGCACAAGAAGGTAACAGCACAGGAATTAGCTCTTTGTCTGGGATCCTGAATTTGATCAGCAGTTCATGAATGAGGTTTTGTTGATGTAACCCTTATTTAACTTACATTTAATTTCCTGTTCCTGTTTTTATTGTTCATTATAATAAAATAAAGTAAAATAAAAATTCTGAGATTCACTGATTTACTGATATTACAGAAGAATAGCTCTGCTAACAAGCTCTACTCACTCAGTAACAAACACACTGTATTTAGTCTGATCATTTCCCAGTAACATTTAAATTTACAATAATTGACTACACAGCAGTGGGGAGTAGATTTCATCACAGTGCATGTCTTTCTGAAAGTGCTCTAAGTTTAAGAATATAATTCACCCACTGTTATCTTCTTCAATGCCCTGTACCAACATAGAGCTGAGCAGCTACCTGAACGCTACCCCAACAGAGGTCGATTATCTTGTTTATAACTTTACCTCCTCACTACGTATGACTCTGGATACTGTAGCTCCGGTGAAAACTAAGGCCTCAAATCAGAAGTACCTGACTGCTTGGTATAATTCTTAAACATGTAGCTTAAAGCAGATAACTCGTAAGATGGAGAGGAAATGGCGTGTCACAAATTAAAAGATCATGATTTAGCCTGGAGAAATAGTTTGTTGCTCTATAAGAAAGCCCCACGTAAAGCTAGAACATCTTACTATTCATTAATGATTGAAGAAAATACCCTAGGTTTCTCTTCAGCACTGTAGCCAGGCTGACGAAAAGTCAGAGCTCTGTTGAGCCAAGCATTCCTTTAACGTTAACTAGTAATGAGTTCATGAACTTCATCACAATTTTTTTTTAACCATTAGAGAAAAAAATACTCATAATTATCTAACAGATGTAACGTCATGTACAGCTACTTTTGTTGATATTTATTTAGACTCAGCTGCACTCACCGCTGTTGCTGAGAAAAACCCAATGGACTCCAGTGAGTCTTATTTTAGAAACAAACAGGACTCAACTGCAGCTCTGCTGCTGCTCTCTCACACTTTCACTTCTGGAGAATGACGTTGAACTTCTCGTCTTTCAGTTGTTGCTCCGCCTCTATCTGCAGCTATGTGTCTGTGTTTGCTGCCTCTGCCTTTATAGGAATTTATACTCAGTGACTTCATGCAGCAGGTGGGAGGAGTGAAGAGTGGTGTGTGGGTAAAGTTCACACAGTAATGAAGGCCTCAGGTGATCAGAAGAAACTCACCTGAATTTCCTTTTTCCATAGCAGACTGAGAGCTTCTGGTGGAAACTGAAGCTGCCAGATGTTTCTTCTGAGCTGAAATGATGCTTTAAATTGAATATGAATGGTTTAACTACTGCCAGCTTGATGGCCTGTGGTACATAGCCGATTATTAGAGATAGGTTGATCATCCCAAAAGGTTGTCTCTGTTCATCTGGACGTAGCGTTTTCAGTGGAAGAAACGTTTCATCACTCACCCAAGTGATTCTTCAGTCTCAGCCGACTGCAGATTTCCCCAACAATATAAACAGCACATTTGCACAATGACTGAAACTAGAACCACTGAATGAACAATGGGCTGTCAGGTATGCAAATTAATATGCAAATTGTCAATTTGCATATTGATGCAATGTTCAGATAAACAGAATCAACTTTTTGGAATTTACTTACCTGGATGATTGAGCATGCATGAAGACATAGGTTAATCATATTTAAGATTGAATGACCAGTAATGGTCAAAACTTTATTTGTGAAGAAGTTCATGAAGTTAACGTTAACTAGTTACTGGTTAGCGTTAAAGAAATGGTTGGCTCAACAGAGCTTAACAAAAGATCTGGCTGTGGTAGGCTCGTGTCTAGGACTTGGCCATGGTGTGTAAGGCCCGGCTGTGAGGATGACTGTGCAAAGTTTTCCCTGAGTTCTTGTTCAGAGCAAAGCTTCAAGGTGAAGCTGATGGTTCAAATTTGATCCTATTTTGAGATACTGGGCTCCATCTCCTGCACACTGTTTATCTACTTATTTCTGTCTGTGCCAGGTGAGCTGGCGTTCCTCTAGCAGGCCAGTTCAGGCCGGAATAGGAAGTTTAAGTTTGGTTGACTTTCCCAGCTCCTACCTCCAGGCAGCCTGGTGTCTGATTTGACTGGTCTATTTCTGGCTTTTAGCATTCAAGGACACAGCCTGCGAGAGCATGTGTGTGTGTGTGTGTGTGAGGCAGAGTTAGAAAGATGAAGGGAGGGAGGGAGGAAAGGAAGATGCTAGAGCCGTGATGAGCTGGACATCATCTTCTAAAATCAGTTTCGTGTTTACAGCTTCGAAGTACGTCTGACACACCTCTGTGCGATATGGCCCCAGTTTCCTGTTTATTAGGGTCACCTAGCTGAAACTGAACCTCCTCCATGAAGGTTGCAGGCTGAGAGTAAATAATAAAAACCACTGTATGCAGGTTTACCCAAAGTTTATACAGCACTACAGCTCCCTCTTTGTTTCACTCACAGGTCCAAGTTTGACTGCTTTTAATCATGTTGAGTTGATTTTCTATCTTTTTGTTGTCATTTTGCATTTTTTAATTCACAATATACATTTTTGGAGGTGTTTAGTTAACATAATTGTTTATTGCTATTTTTGTGGTCATTGTGTTTGAAGCTGTTGTTGGAGGGTTGAAAGCTCGGAGACTTAACCTGGCCTCAGTGTGGCTGCTGCAGGAATTGGAGATAAAGAGCGTGTCTGAATGAGGCGTCGCCTGCTCTCGGTGGTATTTTACAGCTTTTAGTCTGTGCTGCAACGTCTTTTAGTCGATCAGTCTTCTGTTTCAGTTCCCATGTCCGTCACTGGTGGCTTGAGGCTGCAGACACGCTGACTTCCGTGCAGGAGGCTGCCAGATAAAGTTGCTTAATCCGTCACCTCTGATAATGCAGCCTGTAGCAATTGTTCAGTTAACAGGTGACATTTTCCCTTCAAACGCCCTCCCCCTCCTCCTCCCCCACCTTATTTACCTCAGAACACCACAAAAGCAGAGATGCCTGCATAATTAGCTTGCCGGTTAGGCGGCTGATAATTGCCGCTACTTTGAAAAAGCTGTACAGCTAAATGATCAGCGGTGTGTGTGTGTGTGTGTGTGTGTGTGTGTGTCTATAGGTGGAATCATTTGTCACAACGCACCAGAGCTGCTGTTGTTTCTTCTAAATGGAAGAGGAAGAGATAATGGCAGCAGGAAAGGGCATGTACAGGCAAACATGACTGTTTAAAATTAATCTTCACACAGAGACATTTTAAATGATTTTCAAACAGCTCCATGATGACAGCATGTGTGGAAGAAAGCTTTGCAGGTGTGGTTTGTATGCAGAGCAGAGTTCAGCCTGAAGACTTCAGACGAGGCAGGTTGTCAGTGGCTGACAGGTAATGACACAGAAACACAGCAGCGATCATGCTGACAGATTTGGGTGAAGCTGAGTCACTTCCTTCACTCCGCATTCTTATTTAGAGCACTGAGTGAAAAGTTTCAGTCACTAGTTCCAACGCTCTGCACCATCAGTTAGGCATCTGATTTATTCTCCAACAGGATGATGATTCAAAACATCCAACCAGAGAAGAACAAGGAGCTCCACCAGATAACAGACAGAGGAAAAATCTCAGCATCAGTGAGTCAGACTGGGATACATACATAGCTGGACTGGCCATCGGTCATACCGGGCATTGGCCCGGTGGGCCGCTGGTGATTTTTTGTTTTTATGGGCCGATGGATTTTTTTAAAATTTTTTTTTTTAGGAAGGGTATATATAATGAAAGGTGTTGGATTGGCCAGTTGGTCATGATCGACTCTGGGCTGGACCAATTACAGCCGAGGAGGCCGGATGCACCCTCCCCCTTGTTTAGCAATCACGTGATTTTCGCGCATTGCATGTCGGGAACTCGTGGCAAAACAATCCAAGTACAGCATTAAATGCAATTATTTGCAGCACCGCAAAACGTTCATTCTCCGGTTCCAATACCTTCTTGTTTTTTCTTTGCCGCACAAAAAAGGAATGTACAAAACAAAAGGAGAACAATGCCGGTCCGTACAAAGACAGACTTGATGAAAAGACAAAGAAAAGATACGAGGAAAAAATCAAAGGAGTGAAAGGGTCAGACCCTTACGAGCACACAGAGGGACAAAAGACGTTAGCGTGCTGCCCAACTTTCACCACGCTCAGATTTATAATCATACGTTCTTGGAGTGAGTGCATACACTCATGAAGTTTAGTAACTTCAGGTCACTGCAACAAGCCCAGGTACAGTTTACCGACGGATGGGTGCAGGACCTTGAAATGCACCGTGTAGAACGAAAGACCATCGTACCTATCATAAGTTTACCAGTCTCACAAATCGTCGTCATAAATACACATTCGTTAACCGTTTATTAATATAACCTTTGAGCTCAACGGTAATTAATTAGTAGTGGAAATAATTTCTGGTAGCATTACAGAAATGTAGCAGTGACAATAATACTGTATGCTGTAATCGTACTGGGCAATTAGTGATACAAACCAACTGTTTTATCCTGTGAATAAAAGTATATGTTTTTGTCAATGTACCATAATAACAGAAGCGAAACACAATATTGTGTCAGGACAATTCACTATTTATGCACAATAAATAAAGGAGCATAGCGCGACCATTTCTGTTCAGTGCCAGACTTGCTTGTAACCTATATCACCAATTATGTTAAGAAAAATGACGTATTAACTACTACAAAACTCTGACCTTTGTGGGAATGCTTGGAGCAGACTAACCTGTGAACTGGAGTGTTCTGGGACGTTATATTTGGTATATCCAGACCATCCGTCGGCTCTTACTTCGGAAACATGGCTTAAAAAATTTCTCTTCAACGATGTAATCCAATAAAAAAAAAAAAGATCTCTTTACCCGTCGGCTTCCCGTGGCTGTCATGCGACCGCCTATTCCAGTTAATAATACAACAGCTTCTTGCCATTTTTTGGGTTTCTTTTTATCGCTGTGTGACTGAGTTCAATTGAAAGCCTGCGTGCGCTAGTACCTCTTGCCACAAGTTCCCAGAATCCTTTGCGGTTTTACCCCTGAATGACGTCACATTTTCAATCTTTATTCTGGTGGGCCGGTCTCTAGTCAAAATGCCCAGGCCGATTTTTTGTCCCAGTCCAGCCTTGGATACATAGACTGAATTCATGAGTCCACACAGGAAACATTGATCTCACCTCTCAGGTTTACCTGGTATACGCCTATATATGACACGCAAAATCAGAACTTTATGAAGTA